AAAACCCAATGGTGCGAGTCATCAGACTGTGTTTTAAGCCTCTTACCACACTCAGAATGTCATTACAAGTGCAGCACAACATTAACTGCTCCCCATTGAGACGCAACAGTGAATGTCTGCAACAGTGATTAATAAAAGTTATTTTCTTACAAGTTCTCCCATAAAATTTATAATTAGTAATTGTCAGTTGTAAAAATGTTCTTTCTTAGTCAGATTTACAAATGAGTGATGATATATGCTGCATTTTATTTGAACTGGATTTATTACTAGACAGTGGAACAACACGGTTGTTTAAGATTCTGTGTGGTGTTTTTAAAAAGAATAATAATTAGTTGAAAAAATATTTTATTAGTATTTTTTTAATCACTTACTAGATTGTGAGCCCAAAGTTGATAAACACCCCAGAAATTTGAGGGACAAAGATATTGTCCTATAGTTCTAAGAAATGCAAGATATAACCAAAAAATATCTGCCCCAAGTCTGCCCCAAGGGGTAAGGAAAGGTAAAGGTACTGTATGTGATGAATATGTCTGTAAACATTATATTGACGACACACGAAGAAGCTGGAACAGACATGGAGGCAGTCGGGGGGGGGGGGGGTTCACAGCTGCCTCACCTACTGTTTCCTCTCCTTCTCAGGAAAGAAGAAACATCAGCAGTTTTGGGTTTACAGTAATCATGACTGTGAGACTGTGAGACTCTTTCTCACCTGCCTCTCCCGTCCCACGTCACAGACATCTGGGCTGAAGTAATCCTTCGTTACTCACTGGCCAGCAAACCATCTCAATACATTCTCATTAAAATCCACAAATCAGTTCACATAATAATGAATCTGTCTTCTAAATGACGTCATTCTAACTAAGGACACGCTGTGTCAGAAAAAGAAAACCTGACTCAGGTGTACTTGACAGGGAGATGTTCTCCAAGCCTAAAGAAAAAGTCACTACAACCACAGCAATCCTAAACGTGTCACTCTAGTCTGGTTTAGTCAACATAACCCTTTCTATGCCAAAGATATGTTTATCAAATTTAACAAAAATTTAACAAAAAAAAGAAACGCCACGGTTATTTTAAAGGAAATAAATACATTATTTCGAGTAGAAAACCACCCTGCCAGGTGATTTCATTAAAGGTCAAATAAATCGGTGGCCTTGGGTCGAATAAGGATTTTGCTCTATTTTCAGATATAAATGCACTAACGAGGCTCAGGACTCACTCATTCTGTTGTGATTTTTCCCTTAGATCTGAAATTAAATAAAAAGACATCCAGTCTGACAGAAAGGCCAGGACAAAGTGATGATCACTGATGCAGGTTGCTAGCCAACCAACTAAGTTTCTATGGCAACAAGGGTCCGTCTCATTGGTTTGAATCTAATTGATGAAGGAGTGCGCGCACACACATGGAAAGCCAATGTGGCTGAGGACATCATACGAGTTTCCTTCACCCTTCAGTACAACATTGTACAGAAGGCACATTGACAACAACCGACCGCGTGAATATTAGGTTTTAACAAAGCCGTCTTCACAGCGTGAGTCAGCTTTCACTGATTCACTGAGACTCCAGTGGCAGACAGAAGCTCCAACTTCTGTCAGAAAAATGCACATCCTGCTCAGAGAAACAAAGAACAAAAGCATTGAAAACACACTGGAATGCTGAGCTCCCTCATAATACTGATGCTTCAGGGAAACAAAGTGTCCAACACATTTTGGATTTACCACCAGCCCTTTCTCTGTAACACTTGGACCTGATTCACAAGGTCAAACAATAAACAGCCTGACGTAGCTACGTGGACAGCTAAGGTTGGGAATCCTACACTTATTACTATGTACTGTATGTTTGCCCATTTGGAGGAATACAGCAAAGTTGGAGAAGAACCTGGAGAGATGGGATTCAATCATGAATCTTCCTTTTTTTCATCATCAAATTAGACAAAGGTCTGGAGTCAATCCCAGCATTCATTGGGGGAGGGCAGGATACAGCCTGAATCATTTTCCTGCCTGTTGTTGAGCTACATATGGACAAACACTACTGAGATAGTCCAATGGTTAGAAGTTTTGATAACCCTAATCCCTAATTTGGTGGTTTTGAAAGAAACCTGAGAAGATGGATTAAATCCCTGCAATCACAGGAAAACATGCTGTGATTTCTTGGTGTAGTAGATCATATAGAGTCAAAAGTTAAAATCATACACTGTCATACAGTTCCATGAATTAATCAATGACTATAATACTTTATAGTACATATAATGCATGTACAAAGTATGTTCACTTCCTTTGAGTAAATATATGTAATGTTTTCACTTTAGTCTGAAATGGTAGAATCTGGTTCGAATCCTGTGTAAATTCTTCTTTATCTTTAATGATTTCAGAGAACAGAACGTTTGAAGCACATTTTATTCAAAACTTTTTTGATGAAAATCTAATTTAGTCTTCTGTATAATTATAATTATATAATTCTGTGGTGTATAATTCTATTTTCATGGCTACAATCATAACATATTATATTTTATGATGATACTAGAAATTGGATGGAGGATTATCAGATTCTAGAGGTAAAAATCAGTTCGTAAGGACAAAGTGGACGACTAAACCTTGACGGTGATTTCCTCTTCAGAGTATAAATGAAAGAGTAACGGTGAGAAACAGACTGCACACCAGTTGCTGCTCCGCAATAAATCTATTACCTACCAGGTGACAGGTGTTGCACCTTGTTTTCACCACAGTTTAACTGACCATGAAGAATCTTCAGAGATAAATATGTCCCTAACGTCTGAGTGAGTAATAATTCACTGAGAGTTTACTACAATCCCATGTGACCCCCGATGTGAGCTGCCCGTAGCATGTGGCAGTGAGGTGAAGTGGGAGTGAAGGTTTTTTCGTCAAACAGCAGCTTTGAGATACCGCTACCAAAAATACCTCGCACAAGCAGTTTTTGTAGGGGCCTAAACCTAAACCAAAAAACTAACAAAATCCTTTCATACTTGACACACACAAGAAAAAAACGTAACTTTATAAAAGGTCAGCTCTTCAGGAACCAAGACAAACACCTTTTTTCACTTGTTTTCTGAAGACAAATGTTTCATTTAAGTGAAGCCTTGAAGCAGCCTGTAATACTCAAGGGGAATGAAGACACTTTTAAATCAGTGACTTCTAACAAACACATTCCTAACTAGGCTGGAATGGCTAATTGAAGAAGAGTAAAAAAACAGGTGTTATTTGCTTTACCAGCTGCAACTGGTGAATGAACTGAGCCGGAGAGCTTTCTAACTAAGAGAGAAGGTGAAATCAATCACCGGTTGAACTTTGGAGAAGGCTGTGATATTTGGGCTACAACTGCAGATGTCAAATTACCGTGATGTGTGTTGTTGTTGTTGTTCCTTTCACTCGCCGTGTCTAACTCTACGCAGTTGACTCAATGTCGCCACTCTTTTTCTGTTGCTTTCTTATTCTCCAGCCTGTGGCACTCAACCATCAAAAGTAGGTGTGTGAGTGTAATTTTCTTTTTTTCGATTTGGAGTAAATCACAGTTTAATTTTCTCTGTAGCTCTTAGGAAGTGAGAGTTGTTGCCGTACTCTGGCCAGGATTGGTTGGTGTTTATTAGTAAATTAAATAGCTGGGCACAACTCTTCAGCCAACTGTATGCAGTACTTAACTTTATATTTAACTAAAAAATATATGTGTAATTCACAGTTCAGCCGGAAGGCTGGTATCTAATATTGTCTGACTTGTAGTTTTAAATGTGTGCATTTTATAATAACACTATATTTTCTCCCCTTGCAATTTTGGAATCCAGTTATGGGCTGGATTGGTGGATGATGAGGTGGAGTGGATTTGGCCTGTGGGCCAATGAACCCTAACCCACATTGAAATACCTGAACATCAGTATAGATTGTACCAGAATGAATGAAAAAAAGAAAAGTCCAAGTAGGACTTAGGCCTAAATCCCAGCCAATTGTTTTTACTCTTCAAATATTTATTGATCAAGAACCTACAGACCAGTTAGCATTGTTTAATGCTAACGGCTAAGATTTATTTAAGAATTCTGATACAATACTTGTATTTTATACATTTAGTTTTGGTAAAATGCTTATACAAAAGAAGAAATTGGGTATAGTGATCCTTAACTCATTCACACTGGATTGGCATGAAAAGTTTCTTAAATGACGAACGACCTGATGTAATGCGTTCTTCTTTCAGACTCTGACGACTATAACGACACCATTTGTTACAATTTTTCACTGACACGTCTCATTTCTCTTAGTTTCTATGCAGTGTTGGCACCTGTGGCCAGTGCCTTAAAGTCTTGGTAGAAGAGAATGGACCAGGTTCACCTTTATCCCTGAGCTGCAAACCTGGGATTCATAACAATGTCCCATCAAAGACAAGAAAGGAAGAAACACATTTTAATATATAAGAATATATAATATTATATATATATATATAATATAATTCTAAGGTTCCTAATGTATCATTTTCAGAGTCAAACCTTTCACATTAACCATGTTGAGGAAATCTCTAATCCCTAATAGGCTGTTGTTTGTTGCTGAAACTACTCTGTGAGAGAGGAGCCAGGTGCTGTCCGTGGTGCTGAAAACGCTGCTCTCAAGTGTGATGGATGAACATCCACGCAAATATGAACAATCTCAGTGTAACAGCTCTAATATAATGATGACAGAGCAGAATTGTGTACCAAAACCTTTGGACTTGCATGTTCAGAAAGTGCACACGTCATATTACACTGTAAACTCTTTTTTTTTTGTCTTTGTTTGTGTAGAACTCCAGGCCAGTCACTCTAGAATGACACTCTAAATAAGGGTCTCACCCCTGACTGCGTCCACATAGATTTTATCTGACGATTCTGTTATCAGACCAACAGGTATGTACATATCTCCAGCATTTCTGCAGCTGACTCTATAGAAGAATCACTGTTAGCTGCTGAATATATAAACAATATATAAATATATATGACCACGTAAACATTCAGCACAGTTACAATGCTGTTTACCTTTCCCACATACAGGAGCTTTGGCTCACCCTTAGGTGTCATGGGTATGATGGCTTACTTAGGTCACATGTCAGTAAATGATAAAGGACTCACTGTCCTTCGTGGTAAATACTGCATTTTGTCTTTATTTAATAGCATCCTTCGCTTTTATCTAGTATTTAGAATGTTCAGTAGTTAAGTGTGTTGTTACTGAAGTAATTCCACTGTTGAAACAAAAACAACAACTTGGGGGAGGGGCAGCCTCAGCTCACAGGAAGAGACTCATTATTACATTTCTGAATGCACCCATGTGCAGTTTTTGTCTTTAACAACAGAAGACACTCACAGAGTACCGTCCTTCCTCCTACAGCAGCCACTCATCAAACCTCATCCAGCCAAGGAGCTAGGACGATGAATCAACATGATTTCCGTTACCAGTAGCTTTGGTGTGTTTATTTTCTACATCTTTGACATGTTTAATAAACACTTCTGGACTCCTCAGTACAAATGCCACCGCACCTGTTACATTTAATCTCTCGATGCACACCAGCAGTCGGTCTGTATCACCTGACACAACAACAGGGAATCAACAGAGTGGAATGTTTGAATTTAACAGTCCAAAGACCAAGGCATAGACTGACCACTGAACTATGACAATGAGAACATTTTGTTGGTTAAAAACCTACTGAAGTCCACGGTGTTGGGTGGTCGACTGCTGTGTAAGTTAAGGTTCGACATGTTTGCCTCAAACTGCACTGATCAGTACCAGGTTTTTGAAATGACATAACAACTAGTTTGATTGATGACACACACGTCGGGATTGTCAATCTGCATCTACACTGCTTATCCCTTGAAAGAAAAGGAGGGGGCACACTAACAGGTACACACACACACACACACACACACACACAGTTTGATTGCTGAATACATTAGGGGGCTGCATGAGGAGTAAAAAGGCGTGAGAGGAATAGATAAAGGAGTTGTCTTGGAATTTTCCATTCATCTCTCTCTCTCTCTCTGTGTCTCTGTCTCCCACTCTAACCCTCACCCTCCCCTTTCCCTTTATTTTTCCTCTCTCCTCCTTTCCCCTCTGTATATTTTTTGTGTTTGTGTATTTACGGGGCTGCTGCTGGCCTAACACAACCTCCCTCTCCTCCTGGAGCCTGACTCCTGTGCTGCTGCAGTGTAGAAACAGCTGCCATGTCCCGCATTGCAGCTCAGAAAGGACTAGGGGGGAGCAACCGTGAGTGTGTCAACCTCCAAAGAGTCATATATCTCAGTAATGATGCTTTCTAGCGTTTGCATGCGGGTCCATCGCCCGCCGCCCCCTCCCCCTCTCTCTTGCTCTCCCCATCTCTTTCTCTCTCTCTCTCTCTCTCTCTGTTTAGGGCCAATAATGGACGGGCGCCATCATGGTCCTCCTGCAGGCAGAGGACACTCTGGCTGCTTTAGTGCGCCTCTGGTTTTATTGCGCTCGGTGCGTTTGAAGGTGAGGACACGGTGGAGCGGGCACAGTTATTGCCAGGTGCTTTAATTAGAAAAGGCTAAGTCACGCACTGAGATGTTAAAGAAGCACTGACCTAAGGCTGCCATCAACCCAAAAACCTGGGGAAAAGCTACAAGTTGCGCAAAGCAGCTCCATGCGGTCCAGGTCTGTCCGCGAATTAACGGGAACGCCGCAAAATCTACTATATGATGTGATTTTCATACGAAAGAGCAGGTTTTTTATATAAGAAAGTCATCTCGTGAGATTGAGTGAACATGTGTGGAGGTGGCCTGGATGATGGAAGGAGCGCGTAATTTACTACTGGGGCCAGTAGGGAGTGGAGGGAGGAGGAGGAGGAGGAGGAGGAGTGTGGTGTTCTAAAGAAATTAATCCAGAGGTGGCCCCTGGTGGAGGAGGAGGCTTCGTGTGTGTGTGTGTGTGTGTGTACTTGGCGCAGAGAAAGGACAAAAAGAAGTTAAAAAAACACACTACCGGTCACATCATCTGAAGATTAAACTGTCACTCTCATCATTCATTCATCCGTTCATCTACTCATCCTTTCATCCGTCTCCAACCACACACACACACCATCAAGCCAGTTGTTATAAAGACACACACATCATTGAAATAATATTATCTGTAAATGACTTCTACAAGGACAGAATCAGCTTTCCTACCGTGCACAACAAATTTCAGCCGAGGTGACTTTCCGGCGAAGACCGTGGCAAAGAGACACAGCAGGATGGCAGACTTCATCTTCCAGAGGCAGTCGTCCGCAGTCAGGCAGGAAAAAAATAACGAACCAAGCTTTGATCACCAACACACTTCTATGATCCCCTTCTGAAATCGACTCTTCCTTCCAGATTTTCTGCTGCGTCTTGGATCTCTGTCCCGGATCCCGATTCTCTCCCGTGCGTCTGCTCCTCCGGTACTTCAGTTTGGAGAAGTCGGGTGTCTCTCAGGCTCCACCTCGCCATCAGAGGGAGAGGGGGAGGAGGAGAGGAGGTTTTCAGCTGAGCGGAGGGAGAGAATGGAGAATAGGATTACAAAAAGCCAATCATTAAGTGAAAACATCTAGATTAAAATGTACAGGCGTGTGTGGTAACGTGTCAAACCTGTTGCTGTGGGAGATACGGTACACTTACCGATAATATCGGATAATATCTCGCGTTTCTCAGGACCAGAAATACCACGTTTTTTTCCCACGAATAGTAATAGGCTATTTATTAAGAGACTGTCAATTAACTATTCCTAGTGAAACTAGTGACAATAACATGCAAACACGACGGGGCCATGTTATTAATCACATCATGTTAGAAGCAGAGGTGGGTAGAGTAGCCAAAAAATGTACTCAAGTAAAAGTACAGTTACTTCAAAATAATATTACTCAAGTAGAAGTCAAAAGTAGTCATCGGAATAATTACTTGAGTAAGAGTAAAACAGTACTTGGTGAAAAAACTACTCAAGTGTTGAGTTACATCTTAATTATTTTTTAATCAGCACTCAATCAACTAGTAGAAATTACAGAGAGAAGAGTTTATCCTATTAATAAAATAATAAAATAAAACAAATTAATTAAATACCGTAAAATAATCTTTGGGTAAATTCAAGTACTTCAATGAAATATGCTTAGGAAAAATTGGGAAATTGTGGCAATTAACAGATGTACAGTGTGTACATCTGGATGTGATTTGAAATAAACAGTTTTGTTTTGTTTTTGTTTTTTTAAGACCACCTCAGGTTGACATGTACTGGGACAGTGGCCAGGTTGTCAAAGTAGTGGACTGGGTGTGTGCCGTCACTCTGTACTATATATATTATATGGGCTAAACGGAAGTGTTATATATTCAGCTATCTGACTCATCAGTTAAATGTCTTAGGGGAAAAGAATAAATCAACAGGTTGAAGCTGATGTGATGCAACATTAGCTGATATGTTCACTTCTTCTGTCCCTGATAAGCATCTTTAAAGTCCAATCTGGTCAGAGTAAGATATACCTTGATGTTTTGTTTTGTTTTTTTCTTATAAACATTTGCGTCAGTGAAGATCTTGAAAACTCCTCCCCTGGCCTCCTCAGACTGTCTGACCACAGAGACCCTTCTGCAGCCAATAGCAGTATCATTCATCTCCTGCCTTTACAGTAATATCTTGTGTCTAATCAATATGTGCCAAAGAAAACCAGAGTGGCTGAATACCAATTAATCAGCAGTTCTGCTGCGCTGTGCCTGCTTGTGTAGCAACGTTATTGATTATTATTTACGAAATGATGCGGTACTTACGGATAGCCTGAGGTTTTTTACCTTCCTCTTCTTTTTCTTCTATGGTTGTTCCTTTCAGGGTTCACCTTAGTGGATCACTTGCTTCTATCTCACTCTAACTCTCCATGCCCTCTTCCATGGCATTTATCAATCTTCTTTGTAGTTTTCCTCTTCACTCCAACATCTTTTGTCCAACAGACCTCCTCCCAACCCAAATCACAATCACGTCAACCTTGTTCCTCTAACTCTGTCTCCTCGTCTTCCTGAGTGAGTTGTCTTATTGTTGAGGTGAGATGCAGACAATTTCACCAAATTACCGTTTGTGTGTTTGACGCCAATTCAAGTGTTTTCTTGGGCTTAATTATAGACATTTAGAAGCAGTCAGTGAAAAAGTGCTTAGTAATATAGACTAAAGGGAGAAATGTGAGATATTTCCTTGCAATTTAAAGTAAAGCATTACATCCTTCCACTACGGGGCTTTTTTATCTTATGTATTTTTTGCTGTTGCAGTGTGTATGTCAGCACATTATGTTTTTCAAACTCCACAGGAATTAAATTTGAGTAATGTCTCTGACTATGGCAACAACGGCCGCAGAAATGTCACTTTTTTAAGCACTGATTAGAACTGATTACCTTGAAAAGAACCTTGTAAAAATGAATGTCTCTCCGAGACTGGACACAATCTGTATTTTTACCGCAGATCAAACAATACAAAGTAGATTAATTATCCCCTCCACGGTGTTTCACAAATTGTATTGTGTATTTCCTGAAAGTGTTTGGAGGTGCAGTATTATCCAGTAATTAGGTAGCAGCTGAAGCTGAGGAACTAAACTAAGAACAATTGTTATTACAGACACACTGTTGATATTTACAGCAGCGGTTTCTAAAGGTCAAGTCCCGTAAATCTCACCCTTTTGTAGGAAACTGGAGGAAAAACACGCACATGAAAGAAGACCACACCGTCAGATCAAACCAGTGACCTTTTGGCAGAATAGAGATCCTCATCAACTGTTCCGTCACACCAGTTGCATGTCAGCATACAACCCACAACCCTTTTTGATTTCAGTCTGCACACCTGAGCCTGTATCACCTCCAGCTGCTGTGATTGATGACCACGCCCAGTGTTTCCCAGTTGGGCAAAGTATGCAGTTGTCTGAACTAGCTGGGATCAGTCAACAGGACTAGTTAGCTCAGTAATCTGTTAGCGGCTGAGGGGCAACAGAACACTTCTCATCTGTATTCAATCAAACAGTGCATATGGATGTAATCAGGTGGTGTGAACTGGTTACAGAGCCAACTGAGAACACATGTTGACAGCAGCCAATGAAAACAGAGGATTGGACACAGGAAGAATACATATTGCAGAAACAACAATGAGAGACAGCAGATCTGTTTACAGATATCAAGAAAAAAAATTCCTTTTTTTAGAATAGATTTTTTTAATAATGTTTCCACAAACACCACATTTTCAGAGAAAGGCATTTGAGCACAGATAAATCTGGATGCAGCTTCTTCCAGGTGTTTTGTCCCCCAGGACTGAAGAGACCACATGAGCTGATAAAATTGCTTACATTTGATTTCCTGTTCCTTTGTTATCTGCTCCACTGTGGTCTGAGACACAGAGCAGCCCCTCTGCAGTAACTCTGCGCTGCAGTAAATATTTCATGACCTTTAATCAAAGCACTGATTTAATTTTCTCTTTATAGTCTGTTTATTTGATTACCATTGGCTTTCTAAATGATAAAGCCTGTGATTTCGGGGTTTCATATACTGTATGACCTCGTTTCGCGGTGATGTCATGCCTATGTTTCCCCTCGTCACTAGATGGCAGCATATGTCAAAGAGCAAGGTGATTTCGGCTGCAGTCGGTTTCTCCATCATGTCGCAGCACCGATTAACCTGATTATTCCGTCTTCAGATTGACGTCACCTGCTGAGACTCCGCAGGTGTTCGACTGATTTCACTTTAATTGGCATCCAGTCTTTATCATCCATTATCATTAACATACATTATCCTGTACAGAAATAGATGACATTAAGAATATGCCAGAACATTACTGATGACATTAACATTTCAAACGCCATTGGCACCATTTCCTCATGTTAATCTGTCAGTGTGGAAAAAGTAAAAAAAAAAAAAAAAAAAAGGCTTCTATTCAAGTTTTTCTCTTTCATGATTAGAATATGTCAGACCTTTAAAAAATATATCTACCAGAGCAGTTATAAATAATAAAAGCTTATTACATATTTATTTGTAATGCTCATAACTTCAAGAATTTTCTTATCTTTTTTTTTATTACACTTCATATTAAACATACTAACATTCCGTCCGTGGTTTAGCTAATTATTAGTTTTTATGGGCTAGCTGACTTAAATCTAATATTACTACTATCTGGGTTCATATAATAGCACTTTACCACATGTTAAGCTATTGAAGTTATTTTATATTAGCATTTTTTATTGCAACCAATTTAACCATAACTGTAGCTAACATTTATTAGCTTTTATTTAGCTAACCTTTAGTTTTTCTTTTCTCTTTTCCTGAACTAAGGTTAGATTATCAATAAACTATCTGGAGTCACATTTTGAAAATGATCAACCTTTGGCTGTTCATCTTTTCTTTAACCAAACTGAACAGCACCACTAGGTACTGTGTGGCTAACGACTGCAAATCATTGCAGCAATTTTAACCAAAGTCTTTTTTTAACAAATCCCATTCCATTTAATCAAATAAATTTAGTAAAACTAAAGATTAGAAAAAGCAAGAGTTTCCTTCATTTACATATTATCCAACTGGGGCATCAGACGATTATTAACTGCCTCTGATGTGGTTTCAAAACACCTGCGGGTAATTAATGCTAATTGCATGCTCCATGTAATAAATCCCTTTGATTTGCTGAATTATCCACACTAGCTCATGCAAGTCAATAAAACACAAGAGGAACACTCAGAATATTTACTGATTTCATTTTCAACCTATCAGAAATTCAATTATTTCAGCCTTTTTTGGGGGGTTTAATTGTCCAAGCAATCACAACGAACACAGAGATTAGTCAGTGATTATTCCAGCTCAGTGGAATCACAGGGGACTCTTCATCCTACGTAGGGAATGAAAACTTTTATTCACTGCTAGACAGTCACGCACTCTGACTTTGCTGCTGCTGTGTTCTTTAAAATATGATGGATTGGATATTTAATGCTGACCTTGATACTGGAAAAGAGATTAACTGCAACATCTTCGGATCTGTGACCTCCTTTTTAGTGCCAACAATATGTCAAAATATCTACGTTACCTCCATCCATGGAAGAAAATCCTAACATGGACCCAAAAATGTGTCTCTTACCCTGATGAAGCAGGAGTGTTAATCTAGCCTGTTAGATAATCATCCAAACAGCAGTTCTGTCCACGTTGTGGATGCTAAAACTTTGAACAGTTAGTCGCATCTGTCAGAGGAGTGGAGGGAGAGCTAAGAAGAGATTTGTGGATGATGTAAAAGAGGACATGGAAGTAGACGAGATAAAATCTGTGAAGGGAATAGTTTATCTCTGTGTAAAAAAAAACAACCAGTTGGTCTCAGTGTTTACCAACGACAAAGAAACCCACAGACGTGTCGAATATCCAGAAGAAAACTGAAACTGTGTTTAAGCCGTCAAATTTAACCTTTGACCTCAAGATTTAAACTTATATGTTCATGTAATGATGATTCTATATTTGTTGTTGAACTAGTGGAGGAACCTGAAACTGAACTTAACAACAAATGCCGAAATCCCGTACTGTTGGATGCTAATGCTAGTCATTAGTGAGGAGAGTGGCTTTTAAATACCACCATAATCCCTACATCTTTGTCTCACTGTCCTTTGGGAGCAAAAAGTTGTATTAAAATAGATCATATGACATGCAAAGCTGGGACAAAAGGCCGTACCCGCCAGACAGACCTATATACAGTAGATTGAAACATGGCGAGGTAATCCCGAAGGATTCAAATCTCCGCTTGATGATTATCACTTTTATTTCTGGGTTATTCTCTTCAGTGCAAAGACAGGCAGAATGAAGCGGTGTCCAGCAAAGGATCCGAACTGAACTGTAAAGGTGAGGAGAGGGTAATACAGTGATTAACGTTCAGCTTATCACCCTCAAGTGTAGTAATTTGTTTAAAGTGACGAGTCAGCAGTGAAGGGGTTTGCAGCAGGAGAGGAAACAGGAAACGTAAATATCTTTGGAGATCCATTTGTGTTACGTGATGATGCACCTGGCTCTGAGAGTAAACAGCCAGGGCAGCGTTCCTTCTCCGCACATAATCCTCCATCATCGCTCCAGTAAAATGAAACAGAGATACACACATTTGTGCCTGGCTCCCAGCCAGAGCTAACTTTAAAATCCATTTTGCCTGAAATTAAACTGCCCAATGGGCTCATGGAACAAAGATTAAGCTATTAGTTTATTCATAAAAACAACTTTGTTTTGCTGTTTATTTTTAGACAACACAGTCATTTTAGAGAAATATCCAATGACATTGTAGTTTCCAGATGACTGGAGTTGTTGTTTTGATCCAGCTAACGGCAATTTGAAAACACAGGTATTACTGGTATTTAAAGACACGTTAAAGTGAGCTAAAAATTAAACATAAATCCTGTAAAAAACAATAATAATACAAAAGTGGTTCAAAAATGGTCTGAAGAATTCCAATGTTTAAAAATTCATTTACATATTGCAATTAAATTCTTGGAATTTTAAGATGGACACTAAGTTAGCCATAGGTTTAAGTGTGATTGTGAAAAAGGTTGTCTCTACAAGTGGTCCAGTGATGAGCTGATAAACTATCCACAGTAAACTCAGTGACTGCTGGTCTTTCTTTAATATTCCCATCTAACCAATATCAGTGCATAAAAAATGTTACTTTACTATCTGCTTGAGATTCTAAGGCAGACAGACCCAGAAGCTGGAAACATGGCAGGTGAGCAAGGAGTAACAGAGCTTATGAATCAGTGCTATACAGTTCTTTCAGGTACTGGACGTGTGGGAGCTGTGGTAAGTGTCAGATCCCAAAGTAGGGGTGGTTCAGCCTCAGTGACAAAGTAGTGAGGAATCTCCAGTGACAATCTCCAAAAGGTGCTGGCAGTCACCACTCAACAAGGAACTGAGAACAAGAAGGCAGACAGAGGAACTACTGAAGTCACAGGTACTGAGCCAGACCTGTGTCTATGATCCACTCTGTACTGCATGGTACAACGTCCTGGCGCTGACTCCCTGTGGAGCTGGAGCTAACGGCCTCCCCTGTTGATTAGAAGGAACCGCCTTCAGGTGCACAGCTCATCAGCTCAGGAATCAGCACAGCTGTGAAAGAACAGGACAGGCAGCAGCTCTCTCTCACACACAAACACACACCAAACCTCCCAAAAAAAAAAAAAAAAAAAAAACCCTCAGAAATGGTTTCCATGTTTTAATCAGACACTTTTATTAATATTTGTTAAAAAAAGCAGTCATTCATAATCAACATAAATACACGACTAAACAAAGCACGTCTATAATAATGCTGCATTTTTACAGTTTGTAACACACAGCAGCGGTGTATCATTGTTGCACTAATCCTCGCAACTATCTAAAATTATAGAATAAATGCCTTGCACTACAAACTAAACGCTCAGATTCTTCAGTATAGATTGTAAGAGTATCACTGAGGCACAAACTGCAGTTTCTGGTTAAAATAGAAAAAAACAATAGTTCAAATGTAAAGTTTAATCCATCTCTAATGAGAGAACGTAGTTGACGTAGTATCAGTGATGTGCAAAACAAAGACAGACATTCTCATTTTGGAGTCTAAAATGAAAACCTATTGTGTTTATATGTTAATATTGTCTACATATAAAAAAGGATGTAGAAATATGTAGCCATCGGTGGAGTAACTCCATACACTGTAAATATAAGTCTGTTGAAAAATAAGGCTACTTTTAAACCATATTGATTTTCCTCTAAATGGGACTGGATCATACAAAATTGACAGAATGTTCTATTGAAAACTATGAAAAAAACTAGGGCTTAAGATCAAGTGATTATTGATGTCAATGTAACAAATAGACATGTAGTCTGATATTTTCAATTTTATTTTCTATGGAACTATTGTGGAAATCAGCACAGGACACTTTCTCTGCCCTTGACCCATAGTTTGGCACTCCAACTACAATTTTATATACAGTCTATTCATGCTATTTGTCTTTTTACACTGCTACATGATTATTTAAAGCAAGCTGCCATAAGATCAAACACAATGTATTTTCTGTATATTTATTGCATAAATATTAAGAGCGCCACCATCAGTTGTAAAAATTACATTTTACATATTCATGTAAGTCTGTCAAAAGAATGATCATTTAGGGTCTCTCCTGTCTGGAGAAGCCCCTGATGTTACTGTATATACAGTACAGTGATGTGCATTGGTCTGTGTCCACCCTCATTTTAGTGCATTTACACTATGAGCCTATAGCAAATAAACATCTAATTATTAAACAGAATTTTCAGGTTTAGTTCATTTTCTTATTTTTTTTAATGCACTGATGCATTACTCTAGGCTTTGTGATCACATACAGCCTTACTGAAAACAGTGAAGTATATAAAGTTTATGCCATATTACTACAATTTCAGTTTACAATTTGAAAGGCACCTTTTTTTTGGTGCTGGTATCAATACAATCTACACATCCACACAGGAAGCTGTCAATAAATTTGTACAACCTGGAGGAGTAGATGATGGACAAAGATGGTAGTGGGTCAAGACCAGTACATACCACTGAAATGCAGCTAATATAAACTGTATAACTCAAACTAATAAAAACAAATCTGTCTCTGTGTAATCTTATATTGACCAACCATAAAACTACACTTTAATTACATGCTATATGTAAAGATACTATTTAAAGACATATTTTGCTCATTCCGTGTATAGAATAATGGGAGCGAAGCACATCTGAACCAACACAGTGCTGCATCAGTCTAGTATAAAAACACAGGGTTGCCAGATAGCACAGCCGTGGCTGAGATGTTAAAAACTCCACAGACAGACTCCACTGTCCTTCAGCAAAGAAGTCCTTGAAAGTCCCGCTGGAGCGTTTGTGTTGCAAAGGACTCAGAGTCAATATATACAGATACCCATACCCCCCATCACCTTTACCTCAGCTTCAAATTAGTTTCATGGTGAATCTGCCACCATCCCCATCCCCTCCCCCTCCACCCATGGAAGACCGAGGCACAAAGTCAATAGTGGCTGTGTGTTTTATCTGCCCTTTGCTCTGGCTCCAGAAGAACATGAAGACAAAGCAGATCGCGACAGAGCTTAGGAAAGATAGGAAGCCCATGGTGGTGGCAATGATGAGGGTCTTTGCATCAAATGGATACGGCTTGGCCATTTGAGCTGAGGTGTTGGCAGCTTGTGGGTTTGGAGGCTCTACCCAGCCCTCTTCTAAAAAGACAGGGATGGTTCGGTTACGCGGGAGGCCCTTCACATACAGACTGACTGTCAGACTGTCGTTTCCAGCTGCGTTGCTCGCCAGACACTGATATGTGCCGCTGTCCTGAACTTGGGCAAAACGAACCTCCAGTGTACCATTGGGCAAAACTCTGATTCTCCCTGTTGGGGAAACTGCGTTTTTTAGGGATGAGACCCATGTGATGGAAGGAAAAGGGTCTCCATCTGCCTTACAGGAGAAGAGAACTGTTGTGCCCTCCTCAACTCTGGCCTCTTGTGGCCTCCGGTCCAAGATAGAAGCAGGGCGGCAGGTAAACAGCTTTGGGAGCTCTTTCTCTGCGAAGTCTCTGAATTTTCTTAGCCTCACTGCATCGGGAGAGAAGCAGGTGGGCTGATGTCCATCAAAATTGATTCGCAATCTACGGCGGACCACCCAGAGAAGGCGGCAGTCGCATGCCAAGGGATTTTTGTCCAACCGTAAAACCTGAAGGTTCCCCGCAGAGTGGAAGACCCCTTCCTCTAAGGTTGTGAGCTGGTTGGATGTTACATTAAGCATACGGAAATTGACCAGTCCCTTGAAGGCTCCCAGTTCTATTCGTTGCAGGCTCCCCCCTATTAGGTGGAGCTCCTCAAGTCTTAAAAGGTCTCCCAGGAGATTGCCCTGAATGACGGTAATAGGATTGAAGGACAGGTCCAGGAAGTTCAGATAGACCAAATGGCGAAGTGCTGAGTAAGGGACAGCACTAAGGTTGCAGTTTCTGATGACAAGTGAGGTCAAGTTCAGACCAATGAGGCTGTTGGTCGCAATAGTATCCAGAGCTGGCCAGTTAGAAATGACAAGTCTGCGCAGACGAGGGAGTCGTTTAAAAGCATTGTTGGGAAGTGTTGTTATCGTGAGGCGGTGCATGTTAAGACTTGTCAGACTCTGGAGTTGGGAAAAAGCCTCAGTAGGAATCGACGTCAGGTTACTGCGGTCTATGATGAGCTCCTGAAGATTTTGTAGACCGAAAAAAGCTCGTTGTGAGATGAACACCAAGTCATTCTCTCCTGCTTCCAGCATCTGAAGATTCACCATTTCTTTAAATGTATAGTCCAGGAAGACCAGAATCTCATTTTGGCTCAGATCTAGAAATCTCAAGCTTGAAAGGCCAGAAAACACCCCAACTGGAATGATCTTCAATCGGTTGTTTTTAATCCGAAGTTTTCTGATGTTCTGTAGTCCCTGGAAAGCCTCCACTTCAATCATTGAGATTAGATTATCACTGAGGTCCAACTCCTGAAGGTCTGCCAGCCCAGAGAACTGGCGGCGGCCCACAGTTTTAATCCTGTTGTGGGAAATATCCAAGCGCCTGGTATCGCTGGAGAAGCCTTCTGGCACCGAGTTGAAATGTTTCCCAGAGCAGATCACTTCCTTGGCCTCTGGTTGACACACACAACGTGGAGGACATCCTCCAGCAAACACACCAAAGAGTCCAAAGTGGAGCAGGATGCTCCAGGTTCCCCATCGCACGACAGACTCCACAAACATCTTACTCCCTGCCTAAAGAAAGAGAAACGATTATTTATATTTGTCAGTGTGTCAGCAAAATGGTAAATCAGAAACTCAAACGCATTTCTACTGAGAATACAAGTATACCAATTTAATCCTGGTGTGCAGATTTTCATAACCAGTGCCAGTCACTTTAGATCAGACTTGAGCTAAGTCCTCTGTTGGGAAGATGTTCAGGTCGTAACATGTCTTTGTGGAGTGACCTACGAACAAGAAAGAGAGGAATAGGTCAGCATAAAAAATGAACACTGGCAATAGTTCTGTATTATTGGGTTTTTATTCTGGCTGGTCAGGTTGGTTTCACAGCAGGAACTAACCCCTCCCAGTCCAGAGACCAGGTTAGAGAGACCCTAAGTTAACTATAATTAAGTAAACTGTTATAATGGACCGGTGACATTTAGCATGGCTGTTGGATTTGTTTTAATATCCTACAGTATTAACCTCCTAACAGTGCAGAAACAAAAATATATTAAAGAATTTGTTGTTGAAACAAACATCAGTTTGGGCCAGTAAATAGAACAACAGTAAACAACTATTGTTGTAGCTGCTGACAGGAAATCCATCCATTTGAGCTTGTGCTTCCTGTGATCAAAAAAGAGCCAACATTTCAGCTTGTTTTCATTTTCATGACCTGTTTTACTTCCAATTTCCCCCGAGGGAGAAAAAGCAAAAACAATACAAAATTAGAATTTTAGATGTGGTTAATATAACACCGGCCTACATTACTGTAAAGAAAAGAAAAGAAAAGAAAAGAAATGTCTTATCTAATCTATTTTGTTACATGGAAACTGTTTTAAAGAATGTTACCACTGATAATACTAATACTACTACTAATATTAATAGAAGATTTTACTTTACTTTAACTTGGCAGCAAGTTTCTCAACGTCATAACAAAGTAGTATTACGATGGCAAAAGCTACTCTGCTGCAATTCCTGGCATAAATAAAAACATTTTCTGAAGCAGTGTTAAAGTTGAGCAGGACTGGCCTTGCCAGCTCTCAAAATACTGTCTGAATTTCATCTACAGAGTCAAGTCTCCTAATGCATAATAATGCAAATGTATTAAAAGTAATTTATTAAAAGAAGCACAATAATTCAGAGTAATGGAAATGTGAAACTATGAGTTGAGAAAGGATCAATATCAAATTAAAGATATGGAAACTTACCCAACAAAAGTAGCAGTACTGGAAAATATTGTACTTACAAATAACTTAAAAACTAAAAACACATGGAAAAACTCCTGAAAGGTTCGGCGGACCAGCCACTGAGGTATCCTAAAAACAACTTTCGCTTCAAACCACAAAATCTACCAGGAATGTCTCATAGCTGCACATGCTTGCGCAGCATAACAGACTTAAAATAAACATGTGGTCCAAACCTTCGGCATACACAGTTCAGTGAAGCAAACTCCACTTGGAAGTAAAACCCTTCTGTCTTTCCTCTTCTTGAAAACATTTCCACAGAGATCTGGACTCGCTGCAGCCTCGTCTGTGAGGGTCAGAGCTGCCGACAGCCCCAGAGCCGCATTGCTCTGTGTAAACTCTGCTCCTCATGCAAACAGCTCCGATCCCGGCCAACCAGAAGAGCTGACTCACAACGCACCACTGGTGTCGGACTGATCCACAGCAACAAAGTCAAAGAACCACACACACACTCAGAGATACCCTGACCCTTAATGAATAATAAATGTACATATTGTTTTTTCACTACTGTCAATTTTGGTGGACTCTGTCTTAAGGTATTGAGTGTTGAAAATGGTTCAATTTTTAAAAGTATAAATTATTGTATTATTATTGTTATATTGCAAAATTAATTTTATTTCAAAGCAGCAATAATTTGATTATTACATTTAAAACCCTGTATGCAATGTTGTTTTTATTGAATCTTGTAATTATTCAATTGGTTTAAATTTTTATTCAGGTTAAAACGTGCCTAACGCTGTAGTTACTTTATAATCCAGCAGAGGGGGCTCCAAATTCAGCTCAGCTCAAATTCCTCAATTTTAACAGAGGAAAAAGAAGACAGAGATACTATGTTGTTTCCATGTTTGAAAGCTAGAGGTCTCTGAAAACTACAATAATTTCAGCTTTTGGCGTTTAAAGATTTGTGTGGTAGGAAGCTTTTTAAAAATATTTTTTTCTTTACGATAACATTAAAAAACATTAAAATAAAAATGTCTAACTTGCCATTTTTATGTGACTGTATATGCCTTGATTGAAATAATTGTGATGACAGAATTTTACATAATACAAACATAAGTCATTTCCAAAATACAGCCCCCTACCCCAAATGTTTCTAGGATGAAAACATCAGTCAAAACAAGTTTAATATTAGCAACAAACATGTGTTTTGTGTGTGTTTAGGAAATCCCCCCAAATGGGAACATAGAGGGAGTTCACCGTTTTAGAGGGTTAAACCCTCCCCTCTGAGCCAATGTGTCAGAGACAGAGACTGGCAGGTGGTGATATCTCAGAGGGCTTTGTGGGCTGTCAGCTGAGTCCAGCCAGCCAATCAGAGCGCCATTCTTTTACAACCATAAGGCTACAGGCCATCCAAAGGTCCCGGCCCCTGGGTCAAAGCCAGTACTGACCTCGTCTGTCAAATTAGAAAGTGAGGGGATAAATGCATTTGTACTTTTGACATGCACTTCACACCCTGAGAGACAGCACAGCCACATGAGTGTTGGGTTACAGTGTTAATTATCCCTGTAACTATTTTCTATCACACGTGGACACTTGTCATGTCTAATAATGAAGTTTCATATGGGAACGGGCAGAAGTCACTGACTCAGCTGTGCTCATAATCTAAACATAGACATAATCCTAAAAGAATTTAAATCTTACATTTTTAAACGGCAACAATTAAATGTTTTAATTGTGGTTAATCGGTTGATTGTATGCAAGCAATTGCTCATTTATTTGCAAGCGATCACAATTAATTGTATTTTGTGCAAAATGAAATTAATTAAAAAGTAGTGCACTGTGCATATTGATTACAGCGTACCATATGAACAAAGGCACAATAACACTTTGTTTGGTTTGTCCTAGTATGTTAAAGAAAAACACAGCCTTTGAGTCCAGCACCACATACATAACATTATAACAGGCAAAATCACAACAACAGCACGGTTGAGAAAAAATGGCTAACCCTCAAGAGAAGGTGCAATGTGCATCATGGTTTAATGAAACCAAATTGAATACTCAAAACTACCCAACCAAGTATGGAAGGACTCCGCTGCCACATCTGTCAATTAGTGCATGGCACAAGGAAGTTATAGTGACAGAGACATAGTTGAATAAAGGAAGGAGTGGACGACCATGAACATCTAAGGAAAACCACTCGTGTAAGAGAAGCCTTTGATAGATCTTCTAAAAAAGTCCATTCGTACTGCTGGAATAAGAGATAAGGGACTATATATATATATATATATATATATATATACAGTATCATGAGTCAGTAAAATGAAATATTGATCCAGGGGATATTGTGAGCTTCACATGTATATATATTATATATATATATGTGAGCTTTAATATATAATTTTAATTAAACCTACTTCTAATGAGTTCAATGATCTACTGTGCTCCCTTCAGTTGAATAATGATGTTGTTTGGATACTTTAGTGTATTCTGCCACTTGTTTAACAAGTGGCAGTCTGGCCAGATACTGCAGCGTCTGAATCACATGCACAAAGTTGCCGCTTCATTTCTCTGAAAAACTCACTGTATGACCAAAAGCATTAAGCTACTCTATTTCCTGACCAAGTTCCTACCATTTACAACATCACTTTGCCAAAATGTTAATAAAATCAAAGGTGAGATCCAATCTCTCTACAGACAATCCACTGGCAGAGCTGCAGCAGACATTTGGGCAAAATTTAAACTCTGGCTCAATTCACTGGAGTAAATTCCACTTTGTTCTCCCCTCTCTCCATTTGGCCTTTTTGCTCTGTCATCACAAAGAACTCATCAAGTCTTTAAGCCTGAAAAGTGTGGGTGTGTACAAAACACTAAGGACAACAAGAGGGTTAAAGGGCTGAAAATATTTAGAGTTGCAAATAATACAAAACTACCTCTGTAAGGGTTTGGGTAAAACATACCTGCATCTCTGGAGTGTCTGTCTATTCATTAACTGTCAGGTTGTAACTAGGCAGATGTTTCATTATCTGACAAATCTGAAATCTGTCTCAAAATGAGGCATTCCAATCCTGAGCATTTTGTGACTTTGCAAAGCATATTATAATAATCCCCCCCAACACTGGTTGGCTTCACTCGCTCTCTCTCTCCTACCTGCCTGAGGTTTAGCCATTTGCTTCACTCATTTATGACATTCTGATCGCTGTTTAGTGCAACTTATAAATACGGAAAATATTCAAAAGTCATCAAATACACTGTGTCCAAGCCAACCTTTGACAATGTGGAATCTGGTACTTCAACAGTCCAACGTTTCAATCATTATGCCATAGGCTAGCCTTGGATAGAACACTGGGTGCAGAAATAAAAGTTAGCTCCACGTTAGCTGATATTATCAAAACAGATAACAGATAAAAATAATTAAAAATAAGCAGCCAAATTAGAAAAAGAGAAATAAAAACAGATAAAATATCTAAAATAGCCCAGAAATTGCAATAACTTCATCTGGTTACATAATCCAATTTTATTATCCTAAAAATAATAACAGTAATTTAAAACCTTGATCACCAACTTACTGTTAATTAACAGTTAGCTAGTGTTTCAACCACTGACAGATTGTTGTGGATTATTGAAGGGAAGACAGTCTAAATGAAAAGCTTCTTTGCAACAGGAAAATAAAGGATGGAATGGACTTCACACAGCCAGTCTCTGTCTGCATCTATTTAGATTCCCCTCACCAACCCTCATCCCCTCAGCACCCGCCGCCTCTACACTTGGCATCTACATGTGTAACAGACCATCTGACAGAGTCGGAGAGTCTGAGCCTTGCTGGGTTTTTCTGACACTTGTATGAAGACTAATTTTAGCCCTTCAAAGTAAGGAAAGACAATTGGTTGACTTAAATCTCCAATTAAACAGTCTGGAACAAAAGAGCAGTGATGAGATAACAGAGTGTGAAGCCGTGTTGTCTGTTGTGCATATTCTAATTGGACTGTGTTGTTTAGTTTCTTTCCATTTTGGTCTCTTTTTCAGGGGCTTCTGGCACCTGCTGCTGTGTGACGGCCCCTGAGACCTCCTGTATGCCAGCAGTAAATATTAAAAGGTTTACTGGCAGAACAGCTGCTGGTGACTCGGCCGAAAAACTAAAGTCTCATCCTGCGCTCGCTCTCTCTCGCTCTCTCTCTCTTCATGGGTTTGTTGGTGAGCCTTACAAACAGGTTGTGCACAGAGTGCAGTTTTTATTGTAAATAAGGAAAACGAAGAAAAGCTTTTATACACCATAATACTCAACAACAATTTGGGGTAAATTCCAAAGCTGGGATGTGATATAAAGCAGATGTCCCAAACCAGCAGGCTGTGAGACAGTATCAAGAAAAAAACCTCTGTCCCCTCGTCATGGAGGGTCATGGCTTTAACCCATCACCATAGTGAGCAGACAGCACTTCCTTAGCCACCAAGCCACCACTGCCCCGCAACATCGACATCGGAAATTAAATATTAGGACATTATCGGCATATCGACATATCGGATATCGACAAAAAGTTAATATCGGACATCCCTGGGTTTAAGCTATGGGTCATTTGGTGTTAGGCCACAGAGATGGTATAACTAATGAATTATTTTATCTGGTTGACCATTATGGATGGGTAGGTTTGAGTAATTTTACTTTGTTAATATTTTTGCAAGTGGGCCACAGTGACAAGCTGCAGGCTGGGTATAAAAAACTTTAAAACTCCTCAATTTGACACCGACTGCTAAGACTCAGTGAGAATGTTCATCGTACAGTATTATTAATAGAACAAATAAATGAGGGCTGGGAATTAGTCTCTCAGTGCTATAACAAATGAGGGCGTCACAGCCAACCCAAGTAAAGCAAGGATCCAACACTGTGTATCCACGGAATGATGGTAAGGGACGCATTAAACAAGAGGTGTCAGGAGGGTTGTTAACCTGGAACAGGCTGTAAGTCAAAGACGTATCAGACAAATCCAGGGCGGAATCAGAGGCAGCAGAGAGTTGGACATAAAAATGTACTATTTTATTGTTAAGTTTGGTTTTGTGTGACTGCATTTTATTGTATGACTGATGAGTGAATGTCACAGAAACCAATAACAAACTGTTTTGGGTCGCTGTATTTTATGTGGTGCAAATTGGTGAAATATCTGCCAATAGCGATATCAATCCGATACCTTTATATCTTTCAATGTTCAAGGCTGAAATTATGACCAATATCGGACTGTGTATTGGATCAAACCATCCCTAGTTTTAGTTTTAGATTAAAAGAATGAATAAAATTAAAAAGCAAAAATCTTTGAATTAATCTACTAATAATCTAATAAAACATTGTTAGCTGCAAGATAAAAAAAAATCCCATTCATCACCAAATACAAATCTCTACTGTATAATAAAATGCTTAAAGTTGAATAAAAACAAGTTGATTTCCAAACCGAAAGGCTAACAGGAAATGAGAAAGCCTGACCTCTTGAGGGCAGTAGAAAAAATGAAATGACAATATTATTTATTTTTTCCATTCTAATCTTCTCTCAGTAGTGTGGAGGTGAAGCATTTCTCCTTTGGCCCAGTGCAGGGTCTGCATGCTAATCTGACAATCCCACCTGGTTCCTATCCGAGCCATGGCCTGTGCAGTTGCACCTGTTTCTGTCTCTGAAATGATGTTTCTGGGCAATCAGCTCTACCCCAGCTGCAGGGGCTTGGATCCTTACATTCTGGCAGGATGGAGATACGATTTATTCTGTCAAATCCACTGTGATTTTTAATATTTAGCCAACATTAGCTGAACCTACACATTCTAAACACTCTTCTTGGGCTGGTAATGAAAAAAACTTAATTTATTCCAACATAGAAACACAAATCTTGTGTGTAACAAACCAAAATAACAGATTATATATGCAATCCAATTCAAACCAATTCCAAAACACCATCATCCTAGTTTAAGTGAGTCATTGTAAAGAACAGTATAAAGATGTACCAGGCACTCCAACACTGGCTTCCACTGCTAAATGTCTATACCAATCAAAAATCTTAATTTCATAACTGTGGTTTAATCACAATCAATATATTCCTGGAACAAAGAGAACAAATAAAAGC